ACTGGCAAACCAAATCCAACAGCACATCAAAAAGCTCATCCACCATGATCAAGTTGGCTTTATCCCTGGGATGCAAGGCTGGTTCAACAAATACGAATCAATAAACATAATCCAATGCATAAACAGAATTAATGACAAAAACCACATGATTATCTCAATAGATGCAGATAAGGCCTTCGGTAAAATTCAACATCCTTTGTGTTAAAAACTCTCAATAAACTAGGTATTGATGGAACATATCTCAAAACAATAAGAGCTTTTTATGGCAACACATAGCCAATATCATACTGAATGGGCAAAAGCTGGAAGCATTCCCTTTGAAAACTGGTACAAGACAAGGCTGCCCTCTCTCAGCATTCCTATTCAACATAGTATTGAAAGTTCTGTCCAAGGCAATCAGGCAAGAGAAAGAAACAAAGGACATTCAAATTGGAAGAGAAGAATCAAACTGTCTCTGTTTGCAGGTGACATGATTGTATATTTAGATATCCCCATGATGTCACCCCCCAAAATTCTTTAAGATGACAGGCAACTTCAGCACAGTATCAGGATACAAAATCAATGTGCAAAAATCACAAGCATTCCTGTATACCAAGACAAGCAGACAGCCACATTATGAATGAACTCCCATTCACAATTGCTACAAAGAGAATAAAATACCTAGGAAAATACAGCTTACAAAAGGCGTGAAGGACTGATTCAAAGGGAACTACAAATCACATTGAGGAAATAAGAGGACACAAACAAATGGAAAAACATTTCATCTTCTTGGATAGGAAGAATCAATATCATGAGAATGGCCAGACTGCCCAAAGTAATTTATAGATTCAGTGCTATCCCCATCAAGCTACCATTGACATTCTTCACAGAATTAGAAAAAAACAAAACAAAACAAAAAACCTTTAAATTTCATATGGAACCAAAAAAGAGCCAATGTAGCCAGGACAATGCTAAGCAAAAAGAACAAAGCTGGAGGCATTATGCCACCTGACTTCAAACTATACTACAAAGCTACAGTAACCAAAACAGCATGGTACTGGTACCAAAACAGACATCATAGACCAATGGAACAGAACAGGCACCTCAGAAATAACATCACGCATCTACAACCATCTGATCTTCAACAAACCTGACAAAAACAAGCAATGGGGAAAGGATTCCCTATTTAATAAACGGTGCTGGGAAAACCGGCTAGCCATATGCAGAAATCTGAAACTGGGCTCCTTCCTTACACCTTATGCAAAAATTAACTCAAGATGGATTAAAGACTTAAATGTAAAACAAAACCATAAAAACCCTAGAAGAAAACCTAGGCAATACCATTCAGGACATAGGCATGGGCAAAGACTTTATGACTAAAACATCAAAAGCAATTGCAACAAAAGCCAAAATTGATAAATGGGATCTAGTTAAATTTTTGAGCTTCTGCACAGCAAAAGAAACTATCATTAGCATGAACAGGCAATCTACAGAACGGGAGAAAGTTTTGCAATTGTAAAGTCCAGAATTTACAAGGAACTTAAACAAATTTATAAGAAGAAAACCCATCAAAAAATTGGTGCAGGATATAAACAGATACTTCTCAAAAGAAGACATTTATGTGGCCAAGAAACATGAAAAAAAGATCATCATCTCTGACTATTAGAGAAATGCAAATCAAAACCACATGAGATACTATCTCATGCCAGTCAGAATGGCGATTATTAAAAAGTAAAGAAACAATAGATTGTGGTGAGTTTGTGGAGAAATAGGAATGCTTTTACACTGTTGGTGGCAATGTGAATCAGTTCAACCACTGTGGAAGACAGTATGGTGATTCCTCAAGGATCTAGAACCAGAAATATCATTTGACCCAGCAATCCCATTACTGGGTATATACCCAAAGGAATATAAGTCATTCTACTCTAAAGACACATGCACATGTATGTTTACTGCAGCACTATTTACAATAGCAAAGACATGGGACCAAACCAAATGTCCATCAATGATAGATGGATAAGGAAAATGTATCACATATATACCACAAAATATTATGCAGCCATAAAAAAAGAATTGAGATTATGTCCTTTGCAGGGACATGGATGAAACTGGAAACCATCATCCTCAGCAAACTACCATAGGAACAGAAAATCAAACACCACATGTTCTCACTCATAATGGGGAGCTGAACAATGAGAACACATGGACTCAGGGAGGGGAACAACACACACTGGGGTGTGCCAGGGAGTCAGGGGCAAGGGGAGGGAGAGAATTAGGACAAATACCTAATGCATTCAGGGCTTAAAACTTAGATGATGGATTGGTAGGTGCAGCAACTCACCATGGCACATGTATACCTATGTAACAAACCTTCACGTTCTGCACGTATATCCCAGAACTTAAAGTAAAATAAAATTAAAATTAAAAATAAAACAAACTTTTGATTAAAAAAAACCCTACAGACTAATATCTTTTATGAACATAGATAAAAAATTCTCAACAAAATGTTAGCAAATGGAACCTACCAATGTAAAAAGAAAGAATTTTACACCCTAATCAAGTGGGATTTATTCCAAGTATGCAAGGCTGATTAAACATTCAAAAATCAATTAATGTAGCCCATCACGTCAAGAGGTTAAAGAAGAACGATTATATGAACATATCAATAGATTCAGCATAAGTATTTGACAGAATTCGATAATCTTCTTAAGATCTCTTTGGTAAGAGAGATAGAAATAGAGAGAATTTCCTCAACTGAATAAGAACATCTACAAAAAACCACCTACAGCTAACATACTTAATTGTGAGAAACTGAATGCTTTCCCTCTGATATCAGGAACAAGTTGAGGAGGTCTTCTCTCACCACTGCTTTTCAACATTGCACTGGAAATTCCTAGCTAATGCAATAAGACAAGAAAGTGAAATAAAGACATATCGATTAGAATGGTGTAAATAAAACTCTCTTACAGATAACATTCATCTATGGAGATAATCCAAAAGATTCAACAACAACAACAACAAAAACCCCAAATCCAAAACAGAAACAAAAACCTCTCCTGGAATGAATAAGCAATTCTAAAAAGGCTGCAGGATATAGGGTTAATATACAAGAGATACTTGCTTTTCTATAAACCAGCAATAAACAAATAAAATTCAAAAATCAAAATACGTTACCTTTAACACCCCCAAAATAACATACTTTGGTAAAACCCAATGTGTACAAATTCTATTTGAAGAAAGCAAGAAAACTCATATGAAAGATATCAAGGAACTAACTAAATGGAGAGCTATTCCATATTCATGCAGACAAAGATTCAATATTGTCAGGATGCCAGTATTCCCAACTTGATCTATAGATTCAATACAATTACAATCAAAATCAAAACACATTATTTTGTAATCATCCAACTGATTAAAAAATTTATATTGAGAGGCAAAAACCCAAAATAGTCAAATCAATATTGAAAGAGGGGAACAAAGTCAGAGGACAAACACTAATTGGCTTCCAGTCTTACAGGAAAGCTACAATAATCAAGTCAGTGTTGTATTGGCAAAAGAATAGACACTGGGGGAATTGATATACCAGTGGAAATGGAGAGATATGGGCTTGACTTTTGAATCACATAAAAGTTTTAAATATTCAAATATTAAATTTATGAGAAATGGTGAAAAATGTAAACTCTTTGATTACAAATACTAAGAAATGGACCTAACTGTGTATCAAGTTATTCTATAACCACATAGGGAAAATGACTAATTTAGGTTACTTTTCCTATAATGTTACATAAATCCTTAGTGAAATGCAGTCATAGGGCAAGAACCATGCAATCACATCTTGTACCTTACTTTGTAGTTTTGCTATTATTAATGGTGTTTATGTTGCATTGGTGCAATGTGGAAATTCATTAATGTTGCTCGAAACCAGAGTTTCTGCCATGGAAGCAGAGAGAAACAAATATAAAAAAGGGAATGTGAAGAAGAATCTGTGGTGGTAGATTTGAATTAGAGGAATCCATATGAGTACTTAAAAACTCGCGATTTAAACATTTTATAGTAATTTTAAAGTTTTATGCCATTTGTTTCTTTGATGGCTTGACATTTAGGAACATATTCCCCCACCGCCTAGCCTCCAACCCTGATGCAGTTCTGTCTATAAAATGCCTGGAGTCAGTTACACCCAAGCAGCCATGAGCACTCTGAGAACCCAGATCTTTGACGGACACGCTGGCTCATGCCTATAATCTCAGCACTTTGGGTGTCCGAGGCGGGTGGATTGCCTGAGCTCAGGAGTTCGTGACCAGCCTGGGCAACAGGGTGAAACCCTGTCTCTACTGAAATACAAAAAATTAGCCAGGCATGGCAGCATGCGTCTGTCCCAGCTACTTGGGAGATAGAGGCAGGAGAATTGCTTGAACCTAAGAGGTGGAGGTTGCGGTGAGCTGAGATTGCGCCATTACACTCTAGCCTGGACGACAGAGCGAGACTTCATCTCAAAACAAAACAAACAAAACGACCTCAGATCTTCGTTGCTAAATAGTTTTGTCTACTAAAAGGAACCAGGATTTTTGGGGAAAGGTTGATTCTTCCAGGGGCAGGGAATGTACGTGGTAAGCCTCAGACACCATGTGCCATAAATCAAGGAAGTGCTCAAATCCAAATGGGGCTGAGTCAAAAGAATAAAAGGGCCAGCTTGAAGGTTTCCACTAGGAAAATGATGTACAAGTTGGCATTTAAATAATAATATTAATGACAATGGATTAACATCTCAAGAAATCATAGTGAAAGAAAGAGAGAGAAAAGATTTTCCTATACAAATGCATGCCAAAAAATAAAACTAAAGTGAATGATAGAAAATCACCGTTTTACATGTCCCCAATGTAATAAATAATTCAGGAAAAGATTATCAATAGATAATACTACTATTGGATGAATATACTGGGGAATAAGATAGTCATGCAATCTCAAAGTATCATTTGTTGATTACTTATTAATTACAAAGAGAAAATTGTACCTTACTATAGAGACATCTGGCAGTCACCAGCTGAACAAAATGGTCAAATTTTGCACTACCATCATCAGACAACCTGACATATGTGCCTCCTGAGATGATGTAATACAAAGACACACAACCACACAACCTAATTCTCTAATGTTCCAGGCAAAAATCTTTAACCTGAGTCTAATCATGAGGAATACATGAAACTAATCCAAAGTGTGTGATATATTCTTTATGACTACCTGGAATCTTCAAAAACTGCTCTAAAATCAGAGAAGGTAAAGGCAATGTTATAGAACAGAAGTCAGTAAACATTTTCTGTAAAGGGCAGATAGCAAATGTTTCATGGGTTTTGGGTCACATAGAAGTCTCTGTTGTATATTCTTTCTTTCTTCTTTTTTTTGTCCTTGTAGTTTGGCTTGACAACTCTTAAGAAATGTAAAGATCCTTCTTAGCTTGAGATGTAAGAACAGACCATGCCGGATTGGTCTGTGGGCCACAGTTTACTAACTGTTGTCCTGGAGTAAAAGAAAATGACAAGGTATAGCAACCAAATGTAATTTGTGAACCTTGATTGGGTCCTAGATTAAAAAACAAAACATCTATAAAAGTCATTTTTGAGCTAGCAGGATAAATTCAAATATTTTCTGTATATTGGAAGATATTTTTGAATTACTGCTCCTTTTCTGTGTGATCACAGTGTTGTGATTATACTGGAAGATGCCCTTCTTAAGCAGTGCCTGCCAAAATATTCCAAAGGGAAGCATCATAATGGCCGTAATTTACTTTGAAATGTTTCAGGGAAGAAAATAGAAATAAAAGATACTAGAAGTCAGTAAGTGTTCTTAAATGATTGAATGGATGTACATCCAATTTACCCATTCTTTTGCAAATATACTTGGAGAGCTAAAAGATCATAAAAATCAATTGCCAGATTCTGTGCAGAAATAGATGAAATCAAACCTTTGGAATTGAGTCTAGATTTGATTTATTAGTATGTGAAGACTTGGGTCATGCTTGATTGGTCAGAGAGGAAGAAAAAATTGATTAGTTTTAGAGTAAAAAGGAGGTATTAAGAGAAATCATAATGACAAATTATTTTTTGAGTTTCAAATCAGAATATTGGATCTATAAATTCCACAGAGACTATTACTCAAATCTGTTCATTTTGCAGATAAGGAAACCACTGCCTAGACAGGCTTTGTTGTGTGTCAAAATTTATCAAACAGTTAGTGTAAGAACAGGGATTATAATGTGTAGTACATCTGTCTTTTCGCTGTACTATAGGTACTTTGTATAGCTCAAAGTTATATGTGTGATAAAGCCCTCATTCACCTTAATTTATAAGATTAGCTTTCCTAGCAATCCCTTCAGATGCAGCAAAATGTTCAATAGGGTTTTTTTTTTTTCCTATTTGTGACTATCACTGGATAAAGACAGAATAAATAACAATTGACTAATTTACTAATTTGTTGGAAATTGTCCAGTTAATTCGGATTGAGTGCAAACATTAGGGCAAAAATGTTATTAAATATACAGCCTCCTGCTTCTCAAGTAAATAAAACAGAACAAAACAAACTCAGAGGGCGCTCAACATTGTGAGGTTAGAAAAAGGGACTCTGGTGGTGTTTGTAATTTACCTTGTAAACCACAGAAGTACTTAGAGAGGAGATCTATTTGCAAATGTCTGATATGTTGCAGAGGCTCCTCTCTAGGTGAGTACAGCTTTTCCTTGCTGTCACAACGGAAGTGGAACTTGATGGCATCTGATGAACGATTTAAATATATCACATTCAAAGCTAGGGAGAATAAGCGTTAGGATCCTGGGAGAGGGAGGAATTAGAGGGACGTGAGGTACAGAAAATCCATAGTAGAAAGAGACTCAGCAGAGAAGATATAAAGTGGGGGAGTTCAGAGACAGGAGGGATGATTTCATGGTTGGCTTTGAGAGATAGAGTGAAGAATCCAGGTGCTTTGAAGATTCACTTACATTTGTTGGGTGTGAATTCCCTCCAGTTTTATATTCAAAATTACTTCTTTATTTTTTAAAAAAGGAATTGTGGGGATTTGTGTGTTGATAGTACCCTTAAATCTCTAGTAGCTAGAATTAGTAAAGTTCTAATTATCTTACATTGGAGTTTGACATCCAAAGACACCTCTATTAAAAGGAGGTTTCTGTGTGGTCTGTTATGAAATAGCTTTGATGTCTTTACCAAAAGGTGTCTTTTGAGTTTAAAAAGAATGGAGCAGTGGCTGCCCGTGGCTGCCTTCAGTGTGAGAATGTGCTGGAATATTTTATTGTTGGGTCGGCATTGAAGTTCTGCTGTGAAATGATTTTTATGAATGCTATTCCCTGGGAGGCTCACAGAACTGAGAATTTCATGTCATGAGGCCATGATCCCAGGAAGCAGAAATCAAATAAATAAAGGTCTCGGGGAATTATGGTCTATGGGATATATTTTCTTCTCAAAATGAGTCCATAGTTCACTTTGATGGCGAGTTTAAATGGATCATACAAGAACAGAAAAATCCATCTATCTTTAAGTGGTAACAAACTTCCATTTAAGAATTTCCCCATAAAAATACTATCTGAAGTCTAAAATTCAAGAAAAAAACATAAGGCAAGAAAAGAGAATAGTTATTATGGTAGAAGAAGATGGTTTAATATACAGCTTTAAAGCTTTTGATTTGATGATATTTATATTTAGGAAATGGAAAATGACAATTTGGAGCATCGTATTCTATAAAGTTATATGCTTGAGGGTTTTTATCTAACAGCCGTATTAAAAGGGTTTCTAGGTTAATTTCAAGAAAGAAGAGCCAAAAATAGCTTGCCTACAGTTGAAGACTAAGGAATCAACTTTAACTTGAAGCACATTGGAGAGAACTGCTGTTATGTTCTGGATCAATGAAATCATCTCTATAGCAGAATAATTGGAAAAGATTTTTTAAAATATGCATTCTTATATTCTGACCTCATAAAAATTCTGAGCAAATGTTTAGTAGGTCCAACTCAAGGAAACCGTATCACTATCTTCTAGGAAATGTTAGTGAGAACATTTTAGAACACAGTGGAAGAACAACAGTAAACAAAAGCTTCATACTCAAAGGTGAGACACAGACATCCTTCAAACACTCCTATTCTGAAAGACTATTAGGCTGACTTATCTACTGATAATAACAATGATTTGGACAACTTTGGTAATATGGATTAAAACTCTAAATAATTGAGACATTTGTGATCATGCAGAACCCAAGTCATTGAAATATATGAGTAATAAATACAGGATTTTTCAATCTGTAGTGAAAGGAAAAGAAAGTTTTAGAGTAAGTTCTTCCTACCAGAGTGTTACGAGTCAAATGATGTATTTGGTAAAGGAACACTGAAAAACTCTACAAATACTATAAGCAGTTAATGCCAAGCACTATTGAATGCCCAATATATGCGCTTTTAATGGATTTTAAGCATTTAAAATTGTCTGCTTGTAATTTTTCCATCCTATTGCATAGATCCTCTACAAATCCACCATTAAAATGAGGTAAATAATAGTAAACACAAACGCTGCAGGACATGATATTGAATGCCAATATGCAAGTGAATCAGGAATATTATGGTAGAGTTAATAAACCAGGACCATGATAAAACATACAGGTTGATATAATTCTATGTATTTCTTTTAAGAAATAACTGTTTAGAATACATTCTAAATTCAGATTGTAGTTTCCTGTCTAGCATGTAATGAATGCCATGATTTTGGAGGCTTCAGTATCAAAAATAAGACTAGAACAATGACTATTGTAAGAATAATAATGACTATATAAAGACAATACAAAATGCTTTACCTACTTTAGCTCCTTTCATTCCCTTAGTTTTGCGGAGTAAATTTTTTTTCATTAAAAGCAAGGCTAAGTAACTTGCCCAAGGTCATGCAGATAATAGCTAACAGAGTTAACAGCTAATTCCACTCAGTAATCTTAATCACCACTCTAGCATTGTAGCTCAAATTAGAGAACACACAGGCTCAGCTTTTCTGTGTGGCCATGGGGTAGTCACCGAATCTGACATGTCAACTACCCCTAGTTCATTGCTGCTTTGAGGGGACAATGAGTCTTTGGAGTCCCTTTGTATTCTGTTGACTGTGAGAACAGGGACTTGGATTTCAGGGGACTTTGATTTTAGCACCTTCCTCCAGTAGATAAATGTTGGAGGTGGATAGGGAAGAAAGTTCGGATCGTTGCGCAAGACAGATACATAGGCACCTCAGTCAATCTGGCAACATGGGCTTTCAGAAAGACCTTCAAAGTGGCTGAAATGATTGGCTCCCCGTTCTATGTCCAACTTGCTGAATTATGTGCATCCAGAGAATACATATGTGGACAAAATCAGTTGATTTCCTGAATCAAAGGAAGATGAACAAGACAGATGCTAAGAAATGTTCTCCCCATTTTTTCTTTAATTGAGCATTTTAGTAATCTATCCAGAAGCATTTTTTAAAGTCTTCGGAATCAAAGACCCCCCAGAAATATTTAACGGAGTTCTAAGTAATTAGTGATCTTCCTGTCCACACAATTCCTAGCTGAGCAAAATTTTGATATAAAGTTTGGAGAGTGGAGTTATGATTTACTGTAGTAGTTCCTAAAGAGATCCATCAAGTTAGTTGGTAATACAAACAGCCAAATGTTCATCTGGAATTTTTATTGTAAATTGAAATTTGTACAGAATATATAATCACTTTTTTTTTTAAATTGGGGTACTGTTGAAGTCCAATAGGAAATTGCAAGAAAGCAGGATTAAAAAAACAACACCCAACAGACACAGATATGTATTTTATTTTATCTCTGCTACAGGTATTTTAACAGATACCTCAAGCTACGTAAACCTAAGCTTACCTGTCACTCACGTTTCCTTCCATCTCTCACGTCGCTTACCAACTTGGAAAGTTTCATCTCTTCTTCACTCCATTTAAAAATAGTTTGGACATTCAGTTTGAGAAGGAATACACCAGACAATTAAGGAGAGCATTCGTTTCCTGCCCTCTGATATCTATATCTATTCAGTCAAAAATAGTACTGGCCATTGCACATTCTAAAAGCCTCTCCAATCCATCCTCCCC